TGATAAAATATTATGTTTTACTTTTTTAGACACTAAATAGGGGACATCAAGTGATTACAAGAGTCATCAATAAGGGTCAGGTGTGTGCTTTTACTTTTAAATTATGGTAATAATATTATATTTCATCTAAATCACTTGCATTAGAATGTCATTAGTCAATATAACTTGTTTCTGCATCTAGAATATGATTGTTCTGTCTTATTATTCAATTTGATCGTCTATAAATGAATATGAATGATTTGCATAGTTATACTTATTTACTACACATGCATGTTATAAAATAAAGATATTGGATGATATTTAGAATGTAAATGAAATGATTTATAGTATGCTTGCACGTGCATGCTTAACTATGATGGAGTCACTTCTTCATGGTACTAGCAGAGAAACACTAAGATATTTGTGCGTAAATAAAAAAATGATATTGATATTGATGTGTCTTAATTGACATAATTTTGATACGGTACTTTTGTGACGGATGTATATAAATTAGAAAGATATTGATATGTAAAAGATATAGAAAGATAGTGAATGTATAGAATTGTATTGAGAAATATTATTAGATAGTGCAAATCTTCACACGATCTTAGATTAATTTACATAAAGTTTAACTGACATGCATATTGTTTTTTTTTCGTTGAATTACTATAATTTAGGAGTATGAGTATTCACTATAGCTCTATTTAGTTTACTGTTGCTTTAATTAATTTTTTAAGCTTAATTTAATTGATTAAAAGATGAATAATAGCAGAGAAAATGTGCATAGAAGACGCAGTCAACCAAAAATGAGGTAAATTTAACTGTCTTATTTTAATTCACATTTTTTTATAGTGGCTCTTTCAACCAAAAATGTTTTACCGTTCAACCGTCTATACCGCCATGGTTAATTCTAAGCTCCGAGTCAGGTTATGACAACAGTTACTGAAGTCAATTCAAATATGAGATTTGACATAACTACCAGATGACAAAAAGGCACTAAACAACAAGTGGATCTATAGGGTGAAAGAAGAGTCAGATGGTAGCAGGTGCTGCAAGGTATGACTTGTTGTAAAGTGTTTTCGACAAAAATGAATGAACTATTAGAGATATTTTCTCAAGTAATAAAGATGACAACTATCAAAGTTGTGTTGAGCTTGGTACGAGACAAAAATCTACATATGGAGCAAGATGAACGTTAAGACAGTTTTCTTGTATGGTGACTTGGAATAAAAGTTGTATATGGTGCAACCATAGGGATATAAAGTTTCATGAAAAACAAATATGATCTATCGATTAAAGAAAAGCCTTTATGGTTTGAAGCAGACCCTAAGACAGTTCTATACGAGGTTTGACAGGTTTATTCGAAACAATGGTTACATGAAGTGTCAAGCAGATTATTGCTGTTTCATAAAAAAATTATGATAATTTCTATATCGTGCTTGTATTATATGTGGATGACATGTTGATTGCAAGGGTATATATGCAGAATATCTGGGACTTGAAGAAACAATTATCAAACGAGTTTGAGATGAAAGATTTAGGTTCAACCAAGATGATCCTTAGTATGAGAATCAACAGGGACAAGAGTACGGGTATTATAAAGTCGTCTTGGGCAAAAAATATTGAAGAGGTCCTACACAGGTTCAACATGAGTGTGATAAAATCAACTTGTACCTCCTTAGGTAGTCAATCACTTTAAACTATCTAAAGAACTATCCTTAGGTATTCAATCACTTTAAACTATCTAAAAAACTATCGCCCAAATCTGAAGTAGAGCAAACACAGAAGAAAAAAACTCCATACACTTCAGCGCTCGGAACTTTAATGTATGTGATGATATGTACAAGTCCAAATGTTACACATGTAGTGGGAGTGATCAACATGTACATAAAGATAATACAGGGAACATCACTAGAAGACGGTGAAGTGAATGCTTAGATACTTGAAAGGAGCAGGCAAGAATATACTTTGTTTCAAAGGTGCGTGAATAATCTATAATGGTATGTAAATTCAAATCTAGTGGGGTTCTGAATGCAGTAAACTCCAAGTGGGGTTCTGAATGCAGTATACCTCTCATCTTTAGGAGCCATTTTGATTTGATTATAGCCCGAAGATCCATTCATGAAGGAGAAAATTGCATGTGAAGGTATGGGTAAAAGAAATTCATCCTTAGGACAGACTTTCTTGAGATCTCTGAAGTCTATGCACATGCGAATATGTTTTTTTTTTCTTAGTTGATATAACATTGACTAACCAGGAGGAATACTTTTCTTCTCAAATAAAGGCAGTCTCAATCAACTTCTTCACTTCCATGATTGCTTGTTGTTCAATCTTCATTCTCATTTGTCAATGGGCTTGCTTAACCGATATGACATCAGGTTGTATTTCCAATTTATGAACGGCCACCTTGGGAGCTAGTCCTGGCATCTTATCATATCTTCAGGAAAAAGTCTTTAGACTCTACAAGTAACTTTCCAAGCTCATTAGTCTCTTGTTCATTTAAAATTAAACTTATAAAAGTTAGCTTAGGGTTGTCTAAAGTTCTCAAATTTATCTTTTTTAAGTCTTTAATATGTGACTTCTTCTTCTTCTTCAGGAGGTGCATTCCCAACTGAAAGGTCATACAGATCATCTGAAATTTCTAAACAAAAATCATTATTGAAATGATTAGATTATGAAAAGATTTTACCAGGATTCAATTAGTGAGTGGTGACCATGCGATATTTCTTATCATCACTGGTCCTATAGTGATAAACCCTACACAAGCTCTTGACCTGACTCCTCAGCATTCGATTTCCCAAAGATTTTTAAAGGACTATGTTTGTGATATTAGACCCTATCTTGCTAATATAGTAACACAGAACGAGTACCAATCAAAAAATGGTTATATTAATTAATTTGAATTGTCGTTACTTCTTCTTCTCTCACTCTCTATTTTGTCTTGTTCGATTCGAAAGAGGCGTTTGACTCTTAAGAGGTGGGAATTGTCGGAGACGGATACTTCCCATGCAAAAAAAAAAAAAAAAATTATTATTATTTATTTATTTATAAACACAACTATTACAATTTTCCCTCATAAAAATTGCATCCTCAAAATTTATGAACTTCACGTCACCTAATTATGATATAGATAAAACATAAAGCAATAACAAAGATCTATTTCTTGTTAAGTGATAACTAAAACATATATGATAAATCCAACATCTAAGATAACGTTATTCAATTAAACAATCCCCAAATATCTAAATCATAATATGACTAACACAACACATGATAACTAGAACAACACCCATTAGACAAATCATCTATCAAACTCTATGCATCAGCATTATTGAGTTTGAACTAGCTTAGGGTCGATTCAGACAAATCATCTATCAAACTCTATGCATCAGCATTTGTGGGGATAGGTTTTTCAGGTTCTTGCTGAGTTAAAGAATGGCATTTGTGGCGACAAATGCATCAGCATTTGTGGCTCCTCATAGAACGACGTCACAGCCATGTACGAGCCGCTTATTCCTTCTGTTGCCGCTGCTTCTTCTTTTCCTTTTCTCACTTTCTTTCGTCTCATTCGATTTGAAAGAGAAGTTCGACTCTTAAGAAGAGGGACCTGTTGGAGACGGATGCTTTTCTTCGAAATGACCCAATCAAAAGTTTATTATTATTATTATTTATTCATTTTTAAACACACTTATTATAATTATAACTCGACCCGAATGCTACATTTTTTAGTTTAGAGTCCAGGTGAAACCCAACATTATTGAGTTTGAACTAGCTTAGGGTCGATTTGGGATTCTTTTTCCCTATGCCTGTGTAGGTATGTAACATATCGCTGCCAATATATTTCACTATGACATGACATTTTTTATGCTTAGCATATTTTCATAATTAAATGTAATTCTTTTGCAAGTATACTAAATAACTGTATGTACAAATGAGTGACTTACAGGTATCAGATCCTTTCTTTTAAGAGTATCGTCAATTAACAAAGCATTTATACAATTAAAAGGCACTACTTGCAAGTTTGTATTAACCAAAATTTTAGTTGACTCTTTATCCATGAATAAAACTGTAATTATACATTTCATAATACGAAAAATTTCATACTGTGCATTTCCAAACTTTAATCTATTATATGTATTTATGTATAAATATACATGCAAAATATTGAAAAAAATTATTTTTTATATTAAAATTTATAAATCGTTCCCGTGACGATTCTTCTATTGAAAAAGTCCACCATCCCACCCCCCGAAATATCTTTTGTAAACAAGCATAAAATCATTATTCAGAAAAGCATAAAAACCTACAATCTCGAAGGAAAATTGATTTATAGGAAAAAATCCCAAAAATCTAAATTTAGATTTTAAAAAAAATCAACTTTCGTACCTTCCCACTTTCTTGATCTTCCTTCCCTTGCTCCTAGTCTCTTCTTCTCCTTCTCTCCTCTCCTTCCTTCCCTTCTCTTCTCAGATTTCTCTTCCCAGCTCTCTCTTTCCTCTTTACCGAATCTCACGGGGTGGGTAATATATGCAGGTTAATTACTTAACTTTTATATATAAATATATATCAGTTAAATTATCACAGCCCTTAAATTTTAAATCATTTGTTGCATGTGCGGTAAAATGGAAAAACTAAAAATTTTACTGGAAGCTACGCTAAATGGGTAGGTGACCGTAGCTTTAATTTAAAACTTTAGAAAAACTTATCAAAAAGGATACAAATTCAATAATTTTTTCGTTTTTGGAGACTAGTATATAGTTTTATAAATCAAAATGATTGATCTGAAGAATAGAACACAATGAAATGATTTTTAATTTAAGGAAAGTTAAAATTTTAGATATAATTAATTTGCGTACTTGTACCTGTATCTTTTCAAAAAAATTGAGTATTACGTTATCTGCTTCTGCCAGTCTTTTAGTATCGCCGAACGTTGCTACACGCATTTAAGATTTGCATGAATTTACTGTAGGTGTTTTTTCCTTTATTTTTTTTAATCTAAATTGTGCCAAACTGTTGCCCAGCTTCCTGGGCGTACAGATAATGAAATAAAAAACTACTGGAACACCCGCATCAAGAGGCGATCGCGAGCTGGTTTGCCACTATACCCGACTAAGGTCAGCTTTCAAACTTCAAATGATGATCAACCGATTCAGAGTTCCAGTGAGCTCAGCAGTAGTGACCAACAGAACATTGAAGTTTTAACTGAAACTATAAATGGAACTCCAGAATTTAGATATCGTCCTTACAAAGCTAATCCTGCACCAGTATCTTATCCACCACTTTTTCCAGACAATCCTGTTACAGGCATCCCAAGGCATGGTCTTGGTTATTATACTCGCAGCTTCCTAAATTCTGGAGGGAATCATGTCAAGCTGGCCTGGGAATCTGAAACCTGCTCTCCAGTCTACCATCTTCTCCATAGCAGTATGATTCCTGCATTTGAGTTGTCGAATATGAATGCTGAAACAAATCATTTGAACTCCGGGTTAGTTTATCCCTACGACCCCGATCCTGAGTGCAAGAACCTGGCACCTTTCATTTGCTCGGTACCCGGCAACCCTGCCTTATCAAATGGCAACTTATCCTCTTCAAGGCTCCTTCCAGGGGCTGTGAAGATGGAGCTCCCTTCACTCCAATATCCAGAACCTGATTATATTGACTGGAACACGTCTTCTTTGTTTGCATCCTCATCTGATGCAGTTGATACTTACATCCAGTCTCCTGAAAATATCTCAGTGCAGTCCGACTGTGCTTCACCAAGAAACAAAGGTTTATTACAAGATTTGGTTCTGGAATCACAGGCAATAAGCACTGGGAAGAAACAATCATTTGAGACAAGCCTCGATCATGCCGTAGCTTCCATGACGGGAACAACTGCAGTCAAATGGGAAGAAGAGATTAGGGACCCAACCTCCCCCTTTTGTCTATCAGCTGTTTCTCTTTTCAATGAGTGCAACCCAACCATTACAACCACATTTAATGAAAGATCAACTTGTGAAACACCTACGGGTGAGTATTTCTTGCTCTTAATTTCTCCCTGGTACTCGAGTGACCTGTGAATATGTTTTCTGCAGGTTCAGAGGCAACAATGCTGGGTGAGGAACAGGACAAATATGCTCCAAATTTGCCTGATTTCCTGAGACCTGATGTTCTACTGGGATCAGGTTGGTTTATTGGAAATTCTCGAAACACCAGTGAATTTATAGCTGCACCTTCGGGCGAGAGCTTGCGCGAAGAACGTGTACTTCTACCTGCTGGACTATCATCTACGGTTTCACTGGAGTCCTATCCATGGACTAACATGCCTCCAGTCTGCCAAATGTCCGAACATTAGTAACCTTGATTAACCACTGAAAGACACTTATTGTCAGCTATTGGTTAATTAAAATTTGTCTTGACCGTCGACAGTGGATCTTTGAGGTTGTTGTTGCTGTTTGTTTGCAGCTTCATGTATCGTAGGCTGTCATTGCTGCTGCAAGCAACGATGGATGAATGGAAACAAACTATGTTATATGGTTTGTGTATAGTTGATCGTTTTCTTTGGTTTACATCTTCCTGTTTTCCTTTTGGTGAATAAGTGTCATACGCTTAAATCTTTCTTAGTTGGGTATCTAATACTCTTTATCTTATAAAGATGTGGCAACTTATGAGATTTATGATTTGGTTGGAACTGCTTTTTTATTCTTTGCATTTTAGATTGTTGTCACTTTTTTTTTTTTGCACCTTTTCAGAAATTTCTGAAAGAACAAGTTTTTTTCTAATAAGCAAATGTGCTAAAAAATAGTTGTCCGGAAATTTCTTCGATTATTTGGAAGGAGAATATTATACTTCTTTAAAAGGCTGTAACCACCACAAACTGGCACTTATTGAAAGCTAAAAGTAGGTTTTGTTGTGTTCCTTGAGATTTGTGTGGCATTATTATAAATGAAGGTATGAAGGTAATTTAGTATTAATTTTTTAAATATATAAAATTTAAAAGTGATACCTGAAATCATCTTCTTTTTTCTTATTCAGTTCAGTATATGTGCTTCTGCTGCCTTGTCTAATTTTCCTGTAAGAAAACTTAATTTTGTTAGGCATTTCTCCTTTTGCTTCACAAAACTTTTGGTTTCTTCTATATACTTTCTTCGTCTCATTGTATGTCAATCTTTTGAGTAAATTGTCTGAATGCTTTTTTTCTCGGCTTTCATTCTAATAAATAATAGTCCATACAATCTATTTTAGGCAGTCTAATAATATATAATAATTTGTACAATCGATTTTAGGTAACTTAATAATACATATTCCTAATCTAAATATTCAGTTATAAAAAAGAATATGTAAAATTAAATTAATAAATTTAATTCAGTAAATAAAAAAAAATCTTAGTTCTGCCCGATTTCAATTACTTTTGATTGATATTGTGCTGCTAACCTTAGTAGAATAATCTCAATTTCAAAGTTATTTAGTAATATATAAGAAAAGTTAAGTTATTTCTGGAGGACGCTCCTTCATCTATCATTTAACTAGGTGAATTTTCAAATGAAGTTTATTTATTGATGTTTAGAATGATAGTTATCACTTAACTTTATGATCTGCTTTTGATTAGTCTATTTCTAATACATTGTTAATGATTTCAATAATAGATGGGCTAATGTTTAATGTGTATATATTATATTAAAAGATGCTAACAGATGGTATTAAAAATCACTGTAAGAAGTACGGCTGTCAAAACGGCTCGTTGTTCGCAAACAACTCGTGTTCGGCTCGTTTTGGCTCAAGTTTATATATATATTAAGTAGTATTTTAAAAAATTCTAATTGACTACAAGGCTACAAAGATTTATGATCAATTAAAATATTGATTAAGAAAATAGAATAAAAATTATTAAATTAGATTCAAATGATGTTTTAATATAAATAATAATTTTTAACTCTTGCTCAAACCCTTATTGTCTTATGGCTACACGATTAGGGTTGTTAAAATGACTCTTTGTTAGTGAACAGCTCGTGTTCGGCTCGTTAAGCAAACAAGCTGAACACGAACACACTTTTTGAGCTCAAAATATAAACTAGTTACACCCCTAGTAAGAAGTCACTAAAATTGAAAACATTAAAAAGCTGATAACTTTATGTACTTCAGCACTTGCAGATTAAAAAGTTATGTTTATATATACTTGTAAAGGAAATTGTTAAATCCAAAGTTGTCCGGTGATACATGCCTAAGGTAGAGAGAGAGAGAGAGAGAGAGAGAGAGGACGCTGCGACTGCCCCCCAGCGGGGCAAAGTGGGGGTGTTCCTCGAGTTCTTGGACATATTCCATATATTAAAAAATTATTTACAAAGAAGAATAGAGTCAAAATGACATGAGTCTTCTTATACATAAAAGATCTTCTATTTATAGATTATAAATATAAAAGTATATGCATGACCTTGAGAATTATTTTCATTGGCACATCTTCACAACTCTGGCATCATTGGCACATCTTCACAACTCTGGCACCCTTTCACATATTAGACACATTTTCATCTTACAATGCACTTTTTGGTCATACTCAAATGCCCCAAAGTTTATTAATTCTTAGAAGTGAAGTTGCAATAAGAATGAGAGACTATAAATATGTCAAAAATACAATCATAATAATGCACCAATTATACTTCCTTAATTTTGGCGTCTCTCAAAGCTTTGTTTTTTTGGTCCCGAATTGCTCTCCTGAGGCCTTACTTGGACGATTTTTTTAATTTGCCACTTAGTCAACACATATAAAGAAGTGTTGATAATTTATTCAACAAATAGATAAAGCTCTCGATAAGTTTTTACCTTTGCTTATTTTGTTTCTTACAATTACGACACAATTTGATTGCGACAATTGAACGTTTTGAGCTGGTTGATGATTCAGATCTTCAGAAAGACCATTAGTCATTTTTTTATGTATTTTAGTTCGGTGTCTACTTGGCTCAAGTATTACAAAGCCCGTGTTTTGTTTGCTCGGTCAGTTCATCACCTCAGTCAAACCTCACTTTTCTCTAGGTCTTACATGAGTCATTGTTGGGAAGATTTGTGTTGTACTCTTTGCAGAGCTTGTCGCTACTGAGCGAAGAACAACCTCCAGAGCTTTTACCTGCTTTGAGTTTAGAGACATGATTTTTATGTTTGGCATTGAGGGTCGATAGTTTGCTCATTCAAGAGATAAGACTTTTGTTTGCTTTGTTGGATTCTAATTCTCTGAGTGTTGCATGTGAACTCTTCGAGTGCCCTCAGTGTCAGCCGAACCTAAGTAAACATTATTAAAAGTATTAACATATATATTTTAGAGAAAAGTAAAATAAAATAATATAAGATTGTTGGATACCCAGTTTATTTCGGTCGCCAAGATTTTTTATCGTCTTGAATTGTCGATTACCGGAATTTTCGGTCGTCTACTTTATTTTTGTCGTCATGGGGAATTGTCAGTCGCTAAAATTTTTGTTCATCGAAATTTTTTAATCGTCTAGAATTGTCCATCGCTGAAATTTTTGGTCATTAGAATTTGTTGGTCACCCAGAATTGTCAGTTGCCAAAAATTTTGGTCGTCGAAATTTTTTGGTAGCTCGAAATTGTCGATCGCCATAATTTTTTGGTCATTCGATGAAGAGTTTTGGCCATCATCCATCCGCAGGAAGAAGTTTGTCAGCATTCAAATGAGGAATTTTGCCACTGTTAGCATGAAGAAGTTTGTTTTCATCCGTTCGCGGGAAGAAATTTGTCGGAGTTCAAGTGAAGAACTTTGGCTGCATCAACGTGAATAAGTCTGTCGTTGTCCGTTTATCCTTTAACAACCATAAAAACTGCATGTGCTTTCCATTCTTCAATAGCTGATTTTTTCGATCACATCTTGTCAATTGGCAGATGTGTCGGTCGACAGAGTTATTTTCACTGGACAAAAATTTTCGGTCAGCAGGATGTTGCAGATTTTGGCCGGTCGGATTTTCTGCAACTCACTGGGATTTTCAGCGATTGGTGAAGCTTTCGACAACTTCCCCAGTAGGTGACGTGAATTGTAGCGATGACTTGGATTTCAGTCAGTTTGGAAGATTTCATATTGTCTGGAACTTGTTCTGTGGAACTTGCCGACGACCTGAAATTTAGGGTCAGCTAGACACTTTCGGCTGGTGAAATTTGGATGTGGGTCGACCGACGGGAGTTGCACGCAAGTCATTGTGATCGTCTGGATTTAATGTCACATTTTTTTCCCTTGTGTGATCTCTATTAGGAGTGTTTGTGGAAAAATTTTCCTCGGTGTTCCTCATCTTGTTAAAGCAAGTCCGTGCTCGCGGCACCATATGTTCAATCCATAATTGTCTGGTGGTACATGTCCAAGGTGTAAAGCATTAGAACTGTGTGTGTGTGAGAGAGAGAGAGAGAGAATGTGACGAGGCAACTACCCCCAGCGGGGCAAAGTGGGGGGTGTTCTTGGGACTCTCAAACCCATTTCATATATTAAATAATTATTTACAGGAGAAAGAAAGAGCCAAAATGTCACGAGTCTCCTTATACATAAAAGATCCTATTTATAAATTATAGGATGATAAATATAAAAAAATATGAACCTGCCCTTGGGAGTTATTTTCGTTGGTTGGCACCTCTTCACCCCTGGCACATTTTCCCATATTATGCACATTTTTTTCTTCTCATACACTTTTTGTTCATACATAAGTAAATTCCTTTTTTTCTGACATGAGAAATGAAGTGATATAACTAAAATGGAAATAGTGTTTGAGTGCCCAAATTAACTTTAATTATATTAATACTTAAATATTTCTTTGCTAGCCATTAAAAAAAAAACCTTTCTTAATTTTCTTTTATTTCTCTTGTCATAGGTACTAGTAAGTCCAGTTAGAACAAAATAAATTAAAAAATTTTAAATTAAAGTATTTAATTTTGGGCCAAAATTTAAACCTATTTAAAGTCAATTTTTTTTTAGTTATTATAAAATATGAACTATAATATTCAATGTTTGTTTATAGAATTATATTATATAGGATGCTTTATGCACTCGTGACAATTACGAAAATTACAAGCCCTATCTAATACCCATTTAATGTCATTTCTCAATGACATGTATCAGCCCAAAACTTTAACCATCATAACATTATTCACTTTGGTATAATGGTCTCACAATTTTATCCCATTTGAATAACCTCACTCAATGTCCCATCCTAAGAATGTTGTTGTAAATGTGTGCTTAACTTTAGAGTTTTTCCACAAACACCTCAATGTTCAAGAGTTCAAATTCATTTTAACCACACCCCTACTTCGCTACTAATTGGGATGTTGAGCAAATTGAATCACACCAAGTATAACCATATATATATATATACACTTAATTTTTTTGTGTGATTTAGAAGTTATAATTAAACAATAATTAAAC